AATATCAATATTCTCACGAGCTGTATCGTCGTCTGACATGACCACTAATATCGGTGATCCTTCAACCAGGACATCATCATTGTTGGAACTGATACCAGCTCTGATACGATTGTGTGGGCAATCACTGAGCTTCTGCGGCATCCCAACATTATGGAAAGACTTCAGAGTGAGCTGGACGATGCAATCGGTAAAGAAAGGCTGGTTGAAGAAGCAGACCTCAACAACCTCGAGTATCTGCAGGCAGTGGTGAAGGAAACACTACGGCTGCACCCAGTCGCTGCTTTGGGAGTTCCTCATTATTCGACGGAGGCAACGAAAGTAGCAGGATACGATATTCCTGCCAATACCCGTGTAATGCTCAACCTTTATGCCATTGGCAGAGATCCTAAGGTTTGGGAAAATCCTCTGAAGTTTGATCCTTCAAGATTCTTAAACAGCTCTATAGATGTGAAGGGGCAGCATTATGAGGTTCTGCCATTCGGTTCTGGGCGAAGGAAGTGTCCGGGCATGTATTTGGCGCTCGTCTCTGTGCCCTATAACCTCGCCCAGCTGGTTCATGCGTGTACAATCTCCCTACCCAAAGGCTTGACTCATCTGGACGTAGATGTTGAAGAGAAGTTCGGAATGACCGTAGTGAGGCGGAATCCTCTGAATCTACTCTTAAAGAGGCGACTGCCTTTGGACGTCTACCGTAGGGCAGGATTGCAATCCTCTGACGTGTAAAGATTCAATGCTCGTTCCTGTCGATCGTTGTGCGAAAGGCTTCAAAGAAAGTTAAGTAGACATTAACTCTCGGTAAGTCTTGTAGAGGTAAAGACTTCTGTAGTAATTCCGCTTCAATAAAAACGAATTTAGAATATTTATTACAGAACTCCAAACCTTTTCACGAGGTCCGTAGGGGGAACGAGACCCGTAAGTGCTGCAGGGCGAATTCCCTTGCCCTGCAGCACATTTTTGTAGTAGTCACGGTCGAAGGTCCTTGCTATGGAGTCGATGAAGATTGTGTTCGTTCTGATACCCTGAGGACAATGCTTCGTGAGACAAACAGAGATGTGGGAGGATTCCTTTGCTTTGAGTCCGACCAATAGTGTGTGCACCTGCACAGCATGAAGATGCCTATGCGATCAGGTTTGAGTCTGTTATCGGTTTACAACAGTGCAACAGAAGCTACTGCAATTGGTAGTTCAGAGATGTATCCAAATCAGACTCTTGATACTGTAGTACATGAATCGAGTCAGAGGTCGAGACGTAGTTCAAAGGCGAAACCAATATCTCTTACTGTAACGATCAAAATCTACCCTTTTAAGCAGAGGAGGAAGGACAGAGGATGGGAAGAACAAAGGGAGGGGGCTTTAGCTCTCTCTGCATTTGGTCTAGCTTCAAGTTTAGGTGACATTACACTCATCACTCGGCCAACGGACGACTTCCACGTGGTGTCCCACTACGCTAGCACTGGTGTTTATTTTTCCCTTACGCTAACGCTGCTGTTTATTGTCCTCCGTGGTTTTCGCGCATAGACCGGATCTTCCTTAGGTAACCCGAGTCCTCGGAACTTGGCATCCGACAACGAATTCGGTCCGCTTCATGAGCGCAGCTGGAATTGGTTCCGACGGCCAGCTTCGTTGGACACTGTTCAAGAGCTGTAGCTGCAAATATTGTCGGTGATATTTGGAAATCAAAGTCGACCAGAAAACAGCTCTCCAGTGGATTCGAACAGCAGATCAGAATCTAGAACCTTCCAAAAAAAAAAGATCACCAAAAACGGATACAAGAATTTTGTATCGGAAGTCGTTAGAATGGACTTTTTCTCGAAAATACTGCTGATCAGTGTAAGCCAATCAATGGGTTACGAAGGCCTCCAAATTCACCCTTGGCTAGCGATAGGTTCGTTGCAGGTTACCACGTATTGTTACTAACAATTTGTTAGTAAGTTGACGTGATGCTCGAGGCTGGAAGACGATTGAGTAGAAAAAGCAAGGCCTCACAGTAAAGCCACTTTTAGAGCTTTCATGTTTGGGTCTGCAGCGACTTGAGCGCAGACCCAGCATCCATACGAGCGAGAGCACTGAGAGAGAGCGGTAAAGAGAGAGCCTGAGCCAGCGAGAGCAGGGGCTGCACAGAGCTCTGCATGCGCCTGGGGCCATTTTACCTGAGCACTGCCTCGTCCAGCATTATGGGGGTGTCAGACCAGAACCGGAACCGGAAGATTGAAGAATATATGGAAGACTAAACACGCGCATATCAACTGCGACTGAGAAAGAACTCAGCGGCTTTTGCAGCCGCCTTGATCCTTTTGACTTGGATCATGTGGGTGCATCAGCACTCCCAGAAACGAGAGAAAGGTCTCAAAAAGATGATTGATCTTCTCAAGTAACAAAAGTTGTGGGTGAACTGTAGGTGGAATCAGAGTTTTGAGAAGTGAAAGAAAAAGACTATTGGCTAAGAGTAATCACTTGTTTGAACTCAGGAGAAGGGACAGAAAAAGTCACTAAGAGTGACTAAGAGTAATTTTTTCTCTGAAAACTGTTCTCTTTTCTCATCTCAGGTAGCAAATGCATTGGGTGGAATGTAGGTGGATACCGAGTTTTGAGAAGTGAAAGAAAAAGCCAATTGGCTAAGAGTAATCCCTTGTTTGACTCAGGAGGAAGTACAGAAAAAGTCACTAAGAGTGACTAAGAGTAATTTTTTCTCTGAAAACTGTTCTATTTTCTCATCTCAGGTAGCAAATGCATTGGGTGGAATGTAGGTGGAATCAGAGTTTTGAGAAGTGAAAGAAAAAGCCAATTGGCTAAGAGTAATCACTTGTTTGAACTTAGGAGGAAGGACAGAAAAAAGTCACTAAGAGTGACTAAGAGTAATTTTTTCTCTGAAAACTGTTCTCTTTTCTCATCTCAGGTAGCAAATGCATTGAGTGGAATGTAGGTGGAATCAGAGTTTTGAGAAGTGAAAGAAAAAGACTATTGGCTAAGAGTAATCACTTGTTTGAACTCAGGAGGAAGGACAGAAAAAGTCACTAAGAGTGACTAAGAGTAATTTTTTCTCTGAAAACTGTTCTCTTTTCTCATCTCAGGTAGCAGATGCATTGGGTGGAATGTAGGTGGAATCAGAGTTTTGAGAAGTGAAAGAAAAAGCCAATTGGCTAAGAGTAATCACTTGTTTGAACTCAGGAGGAAGGACAGAAAAAGTCACTAAGAGTGACTAAGAGTAATTTTTTCTCTGAAAACTGTTCTATTTTCTCATCTCAGGTAGCAGATGCATTGGGTGGAATGTAGGTGGAATCAGAGTTTTGAGAAGTGAAAGAAAAAGCCAATTGGCTAAGAGTAATCACTTGTTTGAACTCAGGAGGAAGGACAGAAAAAGTCACTAAGAGTGACTAAGAGTAATTTTTTCTCTGAAAACTGTTCTATTTTCTCATCTCAGGTAGCAAATGCATTGGGTGGAATGTAGGTGGAATCAGAGTTTTGAGAAGTGAAAGAAAAAGCCAATTGGCTAAGAGTAATTACTTGTTTGAACCCAGGAGGAAGTACAGAAAAAGTCACTAAGAGTGGCTAAGAGTAATTCTTTCTCTGAAAACTGTTCTATTTTCTCATCTCAGGTAGCAAATGCATTGGGTGGAATGTAGGTGGATACCGAGTTTTGAGAAGTGAAAGAAAAAGCCAATTGGCTAAGAGTAATCCCTTGTTTGACTCAGGAGGAAGTACAGAAAAAGTCACTTTGAGTGACTAAGAGTAATACTTTCTCTCTAAACTGATCCATCTTCCGAGCTGGGAAGCAGTTTCTTTCGTATGGGATCTATCTTCTTGGTGAGCTTTGGTATAGTGCTATGAGGTTTGACTACACCTTAGTTAAATCTCATTCGTATTTATCATTATTTTTTATCAATAAAAGCGATACCGGATATGATTGGATATGGATGAAATTCATTGTTATATCTACACCTGGAAACAAGCTCGTTCGAATTTCGGGTGGAACACGAGATGAAGCAGGAGCGCGCTGCAGCTTTAGATTTTCTCTGATAAGTCCGCTGCTTTCATCCGACCTTTCTCTCTTGAGAAGGTCGGTCAATCCATCCTACCAACTTTGTCTAAGTAGATCGAGAGACGCATCTCCATGTATCATGAATTGTTGTAGCAGGGAACATACAGCTGCTGTATCCAAAACAGGAGAACCAGTTCTAATACTAACGATACCATGTAGCCCAAAAGTAGTCACTCTTGTGGACCCAATCTAATCTGTGTGCTAATCTAGCCAAGCATACGTGATATCCGATAGCTCATGCGAGTGATCTCTTCACCAGCCAGCCCCACAATTTTGCAACGATAAGCAGTATCATAATGACTACGACTGAGAAGCAAGTTTTCACCCGGTTCAAAGTTTTGTGTAACCCTTCAAGAGCCAATGCGCTTCTGGTCCAGAAGGTTCAATCTTCCGTTAATGTACATCATTCAGTTGTAGAAGGACGACTTCCAAGACTTCGCGCTCTAGATGATTTTATGTGTGTCCCGATTTTCGATTCTAGATGCATCTGGAAAAGCTTTTGAAACAACGAAGTCCCATTCAAAACCCGGTTCGTCGTCTGCAATTGTTAGAACTATACCGTCTCCGCCAGCAGTACCTACCTTTCCGTCCATTTGCTGCAATGACCCAGCAACCGTTTCGGCTCTCAGACTTTGTGATGTGGAAGTAATCGACATACTGATTGAGTCATCATCACAAAGTTTGAGTTCACCGCCGATTTGTTCATGCTGTCGACCAAAACCCGCTTCGTCGCAACATGGATGATACAGTATATCGTTTCGCCTTATCTGTTACTCTCGAACGTTTTATTTCATCATAAATCATAAATTTTATTTATCTATTTATTTCTGTCAGAGATTGATGAAATCCGCATGACCGCGCGTCGGGACTTAAGAGCAACATTTTTCTGCTGGTAATTTTATCTTGTCTAAGAACAGACCCTAGATTCGTTCAGCTCATTCGAATTTCCCATTCTTGAAGACCTGTGAACTAGCTTTGTCTTGAGGATATCGCCCAGTGGTCCCTTTGTTTCCTAAAGATTGTCGTACATTTTTCAATTTTTTCAATCAATTTTTCCAACAATTCGAAAAGTCGTTCTCATTGGATCATTTTCCTCCGTGAATATCCTGCATAGACCGATTCTTCCTTAGGTAGCCCGAGTCCTCGGGACTTGGCATTCGACTGCGACTTCGGTCCGCTTCGTGAGCGCAGCTGGATTGGTTTGACGGCCGCCTTCGGTGGACATTGTTCGAGTGCTGGGGCTGGGTGCGTAGGCGTCGTTCGGTTCGAGGTGCACGAGATGGAGATCTATCAGAAATGCGCGTCAGATCGTCGAGTGTTTCGCATCGGTCTTACTGCTGGGATGCAGCTGCGTCATCGCCCCGGCGTCTTTGCAAACTGTTCTAAACTGAAGCAACTTTGGCATGGGCAGGTGAGCCAGGATCATTTCCAAGAGTCCACCTTCTACGTCAAGCAGACTCCAGATCTTCACTTGCGCCCTTTCTTCTTCGCCACTCACAAGGATCAGATATCAAATCGAGGTCTAGATATGAACCCGCAGGAGGCAAATATCACAAATGTCTAGTCCTCCCCTGTTGTACAAACACGTGGAAGCAGAGGATTCTCCTCGCAGTGTAGCACCCAGAAATAAAGATTCAAAAAGATAGTGGTTCCACATCCACATGTTGTCCGCAAAGTTCTGAAAGTCATCTGTCGCCTCAAATCCTGCACAAGTCACTTTCTAAACGATGATGGCGCAAAAAATGGCGACATGCTGCACCCGCGACAGAAAGGAATCATGATTTTAACGAGAGAAACATGAGCTGGTGTCCGTGAGAGACGACAGGAATTGAAACGGAGGCCAAATGCGAGCCATTTTGCAGTCTGTGAGAAGAACAAACTCTGGAATTGGTACAGCCTTGAGTAGACTTAGAACTAATTCTTTGTTCTGGGTGTCGAGGACAGAAATTAGCAGCACTTTGTAGAGCACTTTTCCCTCAGCTATCTGTATTGACTGGTTGTCCACGTGAGATGCTCTTCAAACAAAATGAGACCTCTTCTATTAGACAGGACACGTTCGATGTAATTCTTAGAGCTCTGTCAATTATTCCTTAGAAGGAGATAGTTATGTGACCAGACTTCCAATCAATTGGACTTGTACCTGAAATGAGTCCATCCGCTTTTGTGAAAGAAGTTCTGTGGTAAACATTTTCCGGGCTAGACGATAGTGGTCATTCAAAGGACTCCATATTAGATCCTGAGCTTTCTTGAACACCATGTCTACCATAACCTCCGAAGGGCGAGACGCAAATATGTGATCTTGAATCTTCAAAATCTCCCTGGCCACATCCGAAGAAGTTACAACCACAACATTTACAGCTCCCAGTTCCAGCCACACTATGGGTCCATATTTTTCAGCGATTGTGGCGAGGGAGTGGTGAGGCATCCCGAATGAAAGGTGATGGAAATGTCCAATCAATGGCAACGATGGGGTCCCAGGAGGTCGTTCCCCGCCCGTATATCTTACACTCTTGAAAACCTTCAGCTGGACGTACAGGAAAACCAGTGCTGTAATAAATTGCACAGACCAGCTCGTGGGTACAGCAATGTCCTCCATATCTCTCACCTCTATGGCTTGTGCAACGCGGATGAAAGCCCCTGACTAAAACAATGACTACCCCGATATCAAGGCCAAAACACGGGATGCCACAATATGTGGTATTTGAATTGTCACTGCAAGCTAACCATGCTAACCATGCACATGCGCAGGCTGGCTTTGATTGTCCGGTGGTCGAGACTAGTCTTCTTTTTTTATTACTAATTTTTCCAGGATAATTTATCATATGTGGGAGGAACGAGGCATGAAAAGAAAAAAATTAAAAAAGAATGAGGAAAAAGAGATTGCAACACAGACATGCGATCAATGGAGCCCCTATATGAGTGGCTTGGCGCAACGTTGGATTCCGCTCGTGCACTTCATAGTATAGTTGATAGAGTAGAGTTCAGAATCGAGTAATTAAACAACATTTAACTGAGCATTTTTATAAGCATCATAAACAGAGCTTCTCTATGGCCAACAAACATGTTTTCTACTTTTTAAATATCTCATTGAAAAGAGACATCAGGCTAAGTATTATAGGTCGATTGTCAGTGATACTTTTTTTGGCGTTATTGCCAAGTTTTAGATGTGACCTCTATTATCTAAGAGAGAAATATCAGTACGGGATATGTGTTTCTTGGACACAGTCCAACTACCCGTTGCACAAAAGCAATGGAACGCATTGGATACTAGATCATTCGAATACTGATAAACGTGATTATAAAAAATCTTCCAATTTCTATTCTTATGAAATCTTCGATAACTTGTAAAGATTGATGTAAGAAACATATACATGAATAAGCAGAAGGTTTCTGGTACATAGTTGCATAGATGGCATCAATGAAAATATCTAATCAAATTCTTATATACTGACAAGGAAATTATCGTAAAAAGTATACCTAATAATATGCCCGATCGCAAGCGGCTCTTAATCAATGTGAATGTGTTTAATCCTTATTCCGCCTACGACGCCCTGTTTGATAAGATACGCATTAAAGTTAAGGTATATTTTATGGTTTTAAGAGTATCAAAATAATAATTGCATTTCTCTGAGCGTCCTTATAAACTTTTATCCTCGAGATGAATCCCAGATTATGATTCTACAATTTCAGGTGCTCTAGAAGTACGAGAAGTTGCCGTTTTGAGAAAATATACTAAATTCCTTAAGACATGTGAGAACTAACAATGCGAGCTAAAAGCTCCACCTCTTGAAATGATGAAATAATCAGTAGAGAATCTAATGATATCCAAGTTATCACCCAACTAGCATGAGAAAAGCTTTCATCCCTAATTTCCTGTTTTCTATAATCATATAAAGACTGCCATTCAAGTACCTTAGTACTCTCTTCAGACATCTCCAATGTCATGCAGTTGGAACATTAGTGTATCTGGCTAGAGCTCCCATGAAGTAAGTTATTTCTGGTTTTGTACTCACCATAGCAAACACGAGTGAACCTAGTGCAGTCTGCCATAGGAATTGCAAGTCTTCAATGGTTTCCGTGCTAGTTTCATCGATCTCCTTCATCAACCTGCAGCCATGTTCCAAGGAGGTATAGACAGGTTTGGTATTTTCCATTTTCTACCTATCTCCAATGTACTTGGTTTGGCTCAATCTAATCCATACTTCCTTTCTGTTTCTGTCAATGTGGACCTAGAAGAAACTTTACCGTACTTGATACTGTAAAAACCCATGACAAAAGTGTCTTACTCCCTTCCCTATCAACAAAAAATCATCAACGTAAACTATTTTCAAGAGTTCTTCATTCTTAATGAAGGCACTCAAGTTTGAGTGTGCTCTCATGAAGGCTTGCATCCTCATATAAGCATCAAGCTTATTGTAGCAACTCATAGGAGCTTGCTTTAGCCCATATAAGGCTTTTCTGAGCAAGCAAACTTTCTCAGACTTGGAGTGGCCATATGGTACATCCTTGTAGATTTGTTTCCCCTAATTTCCATTCAACAACGCTGTCATCAGATCTAGTTGCTAGATCTCCCACTTATTTTCAACTGCTAGAGCTAACAACATTCTGATAGATCACACCTTGCAACAAGAATGTAGGTTTAAAGGTTGTCTACATCAGGTTGTCAATTGTATACCCTGGCTACTCATCTTGCACTCTACATCAGAATTTCACTAGCAATTCCTCTCTTCACCTTGAAGTTTCATCTGCGTCCAATTGTGCAAGATCTCTTCCGGATGGAAGATTTACAGATTTCCATGTGCAATTTACTTTTTTGAGATTTTTTCTCTTCAATTACAATTGCTTTATTATATGTGGATGAATAGCATGTTTGTTGGCAATAGAGAAGCTCTTTTTATGATGTTTATATAAATGCTTATTTAAATGTTGTTTAGGTAATCGATTCTGAATTCTACGTTATCTACTTTACAGTAAAGTGCACGAGCGGAGTCGAACGTGCGTCCAGCCATTAAAATACGGTCTCCGTTGATCGCATGTCTCTGTTGCAATTTTCTTAATCCTTTTTAATTCTTTCTTTTCATGCCTCGTTTCTCTCACCATCTGATACACTTTCCTATAAAAGATAAAACACTTCCCGAACATACGTCGAACGTAGGCCAAGCCAATTAATAAGCCGACTTTTTTTTAGACCACTTTTACAGAACAGGGGACAATCAAAGTGTGTGTCTGCATGCTTAGGTTGCAGTGATTCTTCAAATACCGCATACAGTATTGTGGGATCCTGTGTTTCGGCCTTGATAGTCAGGGAAGTCACTGTTTCAGTCAGGGGCTTTCATCTGCGTTGCACAAGACATAGAGGTGAGAGATATGGAGGACCTCATTGCTGTACTCACGGGCGGGTCTGTGCAATTTCTTGCAGCACTGGTTTTCCTGTACGTCCTGCTGAAGGTTTTCAAGAGAGTAAGATATACGGGCAGGAAACGACCTCCTGGGCCGCCATCGTTGCCATTGATTGGCCATTTCCATCACCTTTTATTCGGGATGCCTCACCACTCCCTCGCCAGAATCGCTGAAAAATATGGACCCATAGTGTGGCTGGAACTGGGAGCTGTAAATGTTGTGCTTGTAACCTCGTCGGATATGGCCAGGGAGGTTTTGAAGACTCAAGATCACATATTTGCGTCTCGCCCTTCAGGGATTCTGGTAGAGAAAGTGTTCAAGAAAGCTCAGGGTATAATATGGAGTCCTTTCAATGACCACTTTCGTCTAGCCCGGAAAATCATTTCCACAGAACTTTTTTCAGAAAAGCGGATCGACTCATTTAAGGTACAAGTCCAATTGGTTGGAAGAGTCTGGTCCCATGCACTACTATCTACATCTAATGAATGATCGACTAGGCTTTAAGAACTACATCGAACTAGGCCTGTCTATTAGAAGAGGTCTCATTTTGTTTGAAGAGCATCTCATGTGGATAACCAGTGAATACAGATAGCTGAGGGAATCACTCTACAAAGTGCTGCTAATTTCTGTCCCTGACAGCGAGAACAAAGAATAACCTCTTAGTTTTCTCAAGGCTGCACCAATTCCACAGTTTGTTCTTCTCACAAACTGAAAACTGGCTCGCATTTGGCCTCCGCAAGAAGAGTTTCAAATCCTTTGGTCTCTCACGGACACCAGCTCATGTTTCTCTCGTTGAAATCATGATTCCTCTCTGTCGCGTGTGCAGCATGTCGCCATTTTCTGCGCCATTAACGTTTAAAAAGTGACTTGTGCAGGATCTGAGGCGACAGATGACTTTCAGAACTTTGGGGACTGCATTCGAGGAGGGTCATGCGAAGCGTTACATTAATTTAGCTGATTTAATGCACAACCAGTTTATATGTTTGACCACCCAAATGTTATTTCGAATGGATGGACATGCTCAGAACAAGGACCTTCTGGAAATAAGTGATGATTTAATGAGTGCAGGATGGTTCGTAATAGAAGAGTTCTTCCCTTTGCTTCAGCCACTTGATCTGAGCGGACAAGTTAGAAGACTGAAAAATATTGGTGAAAGATATTTCGAACTTATGGATTCCATCATCGACAACCGCCTGAATGAAAACTCCAACTCCAAGTCGAATACTCAAGAAGACTTCTTGGACGTGCTGTTAGCTACGAGCAAATTTTCTCGTGTTCAAGTCCAACTCCTTATCCTGGTTGGTGACAGATGCTGACCTTTTCCGCTCGAATGTTTGATTGCATGACGATTGTCTTCCTTCTGACATCGATTACTAGCTATGAGTAGTATGAGTGCATGTAATGTATCAAATTTTTAACGCTGTTTTGAGCTTATATTCTCCTGCACAAACATCAACATAGGCAAAATTTGATCGTGGATCTTCTAAATTCTTTCTTACAGCAAATCGCAAGTTCATTGCACAAAATAGTGTAAGGATGACAATGGCAATACTACATGGACGCGAATATCAATATTCTCACGAGCTGTATCGTCGTCTGACATGACCACTAATATCGGTGATCCTTCAACCAGGACATCATCATGGCTGGAACTGATACCAGCTCTGATACGATTGTGTGGGCAATCAATGAGCTTCTGCGGCATCCCAACATTATGGAAAGACTTCAGAGTGAGCTGGACGATGCAATCGGTAAAGAAAGGCTGGTTGAAGAAGCAGACCTCAACAACCTCGAGTATCTGCAGGCAGTGGTGAAGGAAACACTGCGGCTGCACCCAGTCGGTGCTTTGGGAATGGCTCATTTTTCTACGGAGGCAACGAAAGTAGCAGGATACGATATTCCTGCCAATACCCGTGTAATGCTCAACCTTTATGCCATTGGCAGAGATCCTAAGGTTTGGGAAAATCCTCTGAAGTTTGATCCTTCAAGATTCTTAAACAGCTCTATAGATGTGAAGGGGCAGCATTATGAGGTTCTGCCATTCGGTTCTGGGCGAAGGAAGTGTCCGGGCATGAATATGGGGCTCGTCTCTGTGCTCTATAACCTCGCCCAGCTGGTTCATGCTTGTTCAATCTCCCTTCCCGAAGGCTTGACTCATCTGGACGTAGATGTTGAAGAGAAGTTCGGAATGGGCGTAGCGAGGCGGAATCCTCTGAATCTACTCATAAAGAGGCGACTGCCTTTGGACGTCTACCGTGGGGCAGAATTGCAATTTTCTGACGTGTAAAGAATCAATCCTCGTTCTTGTCGGTCATTCAGCCAAACGCTTCAAATGAGTTAAGTAGACAATAATTCTCTGAGTTATGCTTTTCTAGTGAAGCAAGATATGGACCTCCGTATAGCTTTTTTCTCCATAAACCACTAACGGGTCGGTTGACGAGGTCAACGGAATCAGTTATTTCTCTACGTGTCCTGCTGTTATTTGCTCTCCGTTTCCTTCCTCGCCATGTCCGAATCCGAACCTGTTCTTACAAGAGTGTGTTCAGATTTGTTGAAAGAGTTTTAGTTATTTACATGAGTCATGTTCTGATCACAACTCTCATGCTCTAATCATGTGAGATAAGAGATGTTACAGATCGTTTTGCTTTGGCGTACGAAAGTACACTGGGTCACTAGAATAATATTTTGATTTTGTGTCCTGCTCAAATAATCCAAATTAATTAAGTAAGGAGATTAGTTTTTAGCTTGCATGAAGAGAGTCCATTGTGTCAAAACTTTTCTTAAAATAGATGAAGTCGCAAAATAAAGGTTTTCCATTTGCTTTAAATTTTTCCCATAAAACATGCAAGGTCAAGAGATGGTGCAAAAACTTGCTTGAAACCGCACTATCTTTCAAAAAGATTCAGTACATGGGCTCAATTTTGACTCTATTAATTTTCCATAAAATTTGGCAAAAACACTACCCACCATGATAATGAGATAGATTGTCATCAATTACTTCTTTATTGACTTATGACTAAGACCAAGTTGACGAAAATCCACATATAGTAGCATTCTCTACCGCTCAAGTCAATATTGGTTCAATAACATGTACTCCCCATTTGAAAAGTTTAATAGAGAAATCATTTATTTACCATTTGTTAAGTTCTTGACTTAAATCATCACTTCTAATTCTAAAAATAAACCAAATATTCTTTCACAACAAGACATTGATGTAGCGTCCAAAAAAAAAAAAACCTTTCAGCAATGTCAATTAAACTTTTGGGATCAATAATAAATTTAGAACATCATTTTGTTAATCATCTCCACACAAAAAAATTTGGGATTCTACGTCAATTTTTTATTCATCGTATTCTTGCTTTGTACTCAACAAAATTCGTTTTTTAAAGTTCACCAAGTCTTTGCAAAGCATTGTCAAGATAACTTATCAACTGATCTTATACTTGTTTGTTTGCAATCAAAGTAAAACTATTCCTTACAAGGAATATCCCTAGCTCTCCCATCCATTTTCCAAGAGTTTGAAAAGTAATTTTCATCGGATCATTTTCCTCTCTAGATAGACAGATTCTTCCTTAGGTAGCCCGAGTACTCGGTACTTGGCACTCGACTTCGACTTCGGTCCGCTTCGTGAGCGCAGCTGGATTGTTGGACATTGTTCGAGTGCGGGGGCTGGGTGCGTAGGCGTCGTTCGGTTCGAGGTGCACGAGATGGAGATCTATCAGAAGCGCGTCAGATCGTCGAGTGTTTCGCATCGGTCTTACTGCTGGGACGCAGCTGCGTCATCGCCCCGGCGTCTTTGCAAACTGTTCTAAACTGAAGCAACTTTGGCATGGGCAGGTGAGCCAGGCTCATCTCCAAAGAGTCCACCTTCTACGTCAAGCAGACTCCAGATCTTCACTGGCGCCCTTTCTTCTTCGCCACTCTCATAAACCACCAGGACTGCAGGATGTGAACCTCCCAGAGGCAGATTCTTCTGATTGGACTCGCAGATGAAGACTTGCTCCTTCGTGAACAGCGTAGAACGGTGGGTACTCAGAACTTCAGCAACACAGAATTTCTAAAATACTCCAGAGTATATTTTGTTAAGTGAACTTCTCGAAGTGGGCCCTTCTTGTGCAGTTTTATGGTGTATCATCACGGTGAGTCATCTGATACACTCTCCTGGAAAAAATATTAATATAATGAGAAAAAAATTCCAAACACGGGACAATCAAAGTCAGCTTGCAATCGTGCGTCTGCATGCTTAGCTTGCGATGACACTTCAAATACCACAAACTTTTGGGATCGACCATCAGTGAGATCATTGTTTCAGTCACGGGCTTTCATCTGCGTCGCACAAGACATAGAGGTGAGAGATATGGAGGACCACATTGCTGTATTCACGAGCTGGTCTGTGCAATTCCTTGCAGCACTAATTCTCCTGTACTGGTCTGTGCAATTCCTTGCAGCACTGATTCTCCTGTACGTCCTGCTGAAGATTTTCAAGAGAGTAAGATATACGGGCGGGAAACGACCTCCTGGGCCTCCATCGTTGCCATTGATTGGCCATTTCCATCACCTTTTATTCGGGTTGCCTCACCACTCCCTCGCCAAATCGCTGAAAGATATATACCCATAGTGTGGCTGGAACTGGGAGCTGTAATTGTCGTGTTTGTAACTTCTTCGGACATGGCCAGGGAGGTTTAGAAGACTCAAGATCACATATTTGCGTCTCGCTCTCCGGAGATTCTTACAGGACTTGAGTGCCTGCAATAAAGCTGCTTGCAAACTTAAATATCATGCAACCACTCATTAACGGGGATGTTGGCTTTCTCTCCAGCCAAGTTCGCTGCATGGCCATATAAAGCTTGAGATGGAACTTCTTTCCTCTTTGAGGACAAAGCCACAGCTGAGGAATACCTGATTACCATTATCTCTTTGGTCAATAAAGACGAGGGTCAATCAGAGTATGCAAGACTGAACACCATTTGCCGAGTTTGCTACAACCAATCCCAGAAGATTCACTGAGAGTCGGCAATAAACACCAAATTGGACAGTGAGGCTCAGGCACTGAAGATTGAGCACAAGAAATTATCAAGAAACAGGATTCACCATGATTCATAACGTTTCTCAATCCATGCTCTGTGACCTCTATCTCTTCGATTCCCAATGCAGGTTTTCGACGCCGGAACTCTTTGAACTCAGATGCATCGAGTGAAATGATCGTGGCTTCGCCCCTTGCCCCACGGACTTGTCTATTACGCACTGTCATAGTGGTGTTTACACTGCAATCCGAGTGCAACTCAAGGCAAATGATCCCAAAGATCGGGATTCTCAGGGTGATAGTTATGCTTATGTTTGCTGCAATCTATACATCCAAGGCGACACTCTGTTCTCAGTAGAATATTGTTTCAAGACTAGCTAAAATTTCCTAGATTGTATAAGGGATCATAATAATCTCAAGTTAAAGATCCCATGCAGTTCTTTGGACGCCAAATTCTACTCAACATGGCTAAGGAGAACCAGAGAACTCATGAAGTAAGTTCCGGTCGAAGTCAACATTGTTTCTACGAACGCCGAGCACGAGATTTACGAGGTTTTAAACACAATTTACAATTTCGCACATCCACAATTGCGAGACCATCCGATTTCCGAGAATCGATTGAATTTTCCTATCCTTTCCGCTAGTATCAGCAAAAAGTGAATCCGTCCTAACAAGAGTCGTTTAACACCCATCTATCTTCTGACTTGCTGAAGATACCAGCAGATATGACACTGAGGCCTCGGCAACAGCGCTCACTGCTTCTCTCGCTTCGGGTGTGGTATCAATTGGCAAGCAAGATACGACAGTCGATCTTCTGACTGGCTGAAGGTCCTAGCATATATCTTGGTATTCCGATACGTAGTCGGCAAGGCATTAACACGAAGAAACCCTGGGCAAGTGCATGCTCATCTCCAAGTCAGAGGTTGTCACGAGATTCTTACTGAAGGCCGCAAGTAAACACCAACGCTTTCCCTTCCAGTGTCTTCCATCTTGAAGGTTGCCAGATGGGCATGTTGTATTTCCCAGATCGTGGAAGAACATACACTTTAGATCACAGAAGTTCTCGAATTAAAAGGGGTCTCCGGATTGCATTTGTGAAGCCCTGCTCGTCAATGTCATCCACGAGAACAACTGTCAAAGGACGAACATTCAAGCCGAATTCAAGCAAGAACGCCAGTGTCTATCCCTGTTCAGCATTAAGACCTACATTGAACAGCGTGCATATCAGTTGCCTGACAATTTCAGCTCAGTACCTCATGATATTTATACAGCAGCGGTCTCAAATCCCTTTGACTTGTAGCACTGGTCTGTGCCTGGTTCTGATGTGCAGACTGGCCACCCTTCCTTATCCTGGTCAAGTCGTAAAAGGTTTAACATTAGCGTCATGATCAACACCACTACTTGACTTAATAACGAGCCAGTCACTATAATAGCTTCTAAAACCGAGGACTTATCTTGATGACGAGCTCAGACATATGCATAGATAAATCAGAGTGTAAATAAAGGGAGAAAAGAGAAACGACATAGAAGAGAGCTCATTCATGCAAGCACAACCCTGCCTACAAGAGTCAAATTGGACGAAAGCTTACTTGAAGTGTCCCAACGACCAAACCTTAAGAGGTCTGGAGTTTAGAAGGCAGCCGACTACATCATTGATAGAGCAACGAAAACTAAGTTACTAGCGTACCTGTCAAAAAAGGACATATGGTTGGTGACTTTGGGTGGGTTTGTGACTTTCAACGAAGATGTTTCCGCCTCTCCAGCTTCAACCAAAGGGACTGCAACTTCTGGATGATCCTCGTCAGTAACCTTCACTTTCTGATTATCGCTGGCCACTTGGTGCAACTTGTGGTCGGGTTCGATTGCTTCATGACGGTTTAGTGATGTCGTTTTGCCATGTTCTTTCAACATTTGAGAAGAAGTACCTAGATTCATCGTTTGACAAGATTTGACAACGCCGATGGCTTCGCGGCGAAGCTTTTCTTGCTCGACCTACAGTTCCCATCAACCATTCAATACATAAATCGGCTTCTTCCGATCATCAAGCAAGTTCAAAACTTACTCCGTTCTGAAATTTCAAGGATCAGATATTCGAGGTCTAGGATATGAACCCGCTGGAGGCAAACATCACAAATGTCTAGTCCTCCCCTGTTGTACAAACACGTGGAAGCAGAGGATTCTCCTTGCAGTGTAGCACCCAGAAATAAAGATTCGAAAAGATAGTGATGTCAACAACTACTCTTCGTTCGTATGACTTATCCAATGGTAAACGTAAAAGAAATCATGGCGGAAATCACACAACTAGGGAAGACATAAACATGGAGTGATTTTACCAACTTGAATTGAAGAAAAGTCAATCAAATCATTTCTTTGCCATTGTCTCCCGTTCTAACAAATTTCTACAGAGTCCTGAATAAGATGTAATTATTACAAAACTCCTCTTTCCTCTTCACTGCCCCATGGTTGATTTGAGTGATAACCACATATGTGCAAACGACTCTGTAGAAGGTGTAGGACGGATAGCTCAATATATAAATTGTCGGAAACAAAATACTGAGACATGAGCTCACCTGTTGACCCAGCAAACGTCGTAGTGTGGCTGAAAGCTGGCGGTGTGGAACCTTGTATCCCTTTCAAAGCAAAAGCAGAAAAACATTATTGATATACCAGACAATGATAATTCAAACTAGTTGTAGATCTATTCAAAATTTAGTTACCTACAAAAGGATACTGTTCAAAGTATTTGAGATTCAGATATAATTCAGATACAATAACAAACGTAGATTCCTTCGCTGATATGGGAAAGCCCAAATACGAGAGTTGGTTCTATAACCGCATATGGTTGCAGAAAGATTTTTTATATGGAAGAACGAGAAGTTATGCAGATAACCGTTCTTAACTTTTCAGAATGTTGTTACCTACAAAAGAGTACTAACATGTGAAAACAATTACAGCACGAGTCCATTTTCTCAAAATAGATGATGACTGTTAGAACATGTGTTCTTCCTAGCGAGCTTCAACCTCCTCAAGGAAACCTTTATTTGATGCGAACGCAAGTTGAGAGGAATACGAGGCATGCACGTTAGTCGATGATTGCAAAATTTTACCTCAAAGTTGATCATCCTATTAATCGGTGGATCGAGTTGAATATCAACTTGGCCCTGATTCTTGCTTTCCATATCCCGAGCTGTCAAGTTATTTGCTTCTACTTCCTTATAAGTCAAACCATACTGAATCATTGTATCTACCAGCTGCTTCATGGACTCTTGCTCGGCCGCTGAGTACAACTGTGCAGCCACCTACACCATACGGATAAGGTTGAGGTAAGTATTAAAAAACCAACAGTCGCTGGATATGAGAACATGATATCAACTGTATTGTATATAATGAACTTGATCATAATATGTAGTAGATAACTAAGAATGTTGTGTTTTCTCATGTTCTCATGTGAGACAATAGAACCTTTCTTTAACATGCCCGCACACGAAATCAGTCCCAAGGACAAGTCTCAACTATGATAGTTGAAAAGAACGGAAATATTTTTTGTATGGAGGGAAGTGTAGGCGTAAGGAATGACATCTTATTTCTTTGGATTTCTTACCGGTCGCAACGGAGGACTCAAAATTGCTAGCAACGGGGTCATGAGTTCTATGCTAAGGAGGGAAGAAGAAATATTTCGAGAAATTGCGGGTGCCATTCCGTTAATCCAAGAGTTCAATATCTCCATCTTCATTGCTAGGTCCGTCCTGTACCTAATTTTTTTTTCAAAAAAGACAAACAGTGTACATCATTCAGACCGTCAAGCTTTACAAGAACTGTAGAGATCTTGATCCTAGAACTGCGTCGTCTGGCCTACTCCTAAACTGTTGATATGATACTAATACTGATCAAAACAATCCAAAATTGCGAGGAAAGCCGGGATAATTTGTATTTATACGTCAGCCTCCGAAGCCAGTGGGAAAACGAAAGGACGAGAAGGGTAGACAACCTTTGAAATGCTTTTGGCCATTGTAATTGGGGTCTCGTTGGTCCAGCAACCAAATGGCGTATGGTGATAGGCGCTGCCGGTTGATAGGCTGCGAGAATGAGTCAGAGTACGACAACCAACAGCAGGACAGTCAGTAGCTTAAAACCATTTTCACATACACGGAACAAGTGAGTTGAAACCTAAGAAAACCTGTAAATTGAGTCCCGATCAAAATTTTCCTAGACAGAAAGATATACGGTTCGAAGCTCTACCATTCAAAAAAAACTGCTGTTTGGAGATAACTCGCTTGCTCCTGATATCTGAATCGCAGATAGATCGCAAGCACTCTGTCTGCGTGGAAGGAGACAATTTGTGAGGCTGGACAAACAAGAAGAGCGAATAACAATACACTTTGTAATTGCTTCTACAGAGACATCACAAGTATTCTTGTATTGTACAGCGACGTCCTCGGTTATAACTAAAACAACTGTAATGTATTATACTCAACACGAGTTCAGCGATCTCGCCCTTGTAGTCCGAAACTTCATCTGTATAATGTAAAGAACAGCTTTCAATGATGAATGCTCACGTCCTTACTCCTGAATGCTCTTGTTCGTTAGCAGCATAATTTTGTGACCCTGGGAATTTGAATAAGTAAACGAAAGCTTCCTGCAGATTTTCACGTTGACTCACAACGAAAACTACCCTCTCAAGACTACTTGAATTAATTGAGCGGGCTTACCGTTTTTGAAAAACTGGAATCCTGGTAACGGATGTGCAAAAGATTCTCATGCAAGCCCTCGACTGCTAGTTCGTGGTCACCACTGAATCAAAACAAAATGTAATCATTAGTATTTGCGTTTCATAGCCTGAGAACAACAGAATGACATCAAACAAACGTAGCTTCAATTGAGATTCAGTTATTTATTTTGACAGGGCAACAATACCTCTGAAAGAGATCATGAGAACAAGCATCAAGAAGGTTTTTGCTTTAACTCACTGGTTGCCGAGCAGGTCGTAGAGACGGGTGAAGTGCAATAGTTCTTGACCACCACCACAACCTGCCGTCCGTCCTTGCTGCATCAAGAGCCTAGAGGGGGCGTCTTTTCTGAGATGGAAGACCTGAAACAGCTCGAGTATTGGATAGCGAAAGGGGAAATCTCCCGCGAACAGTACAGAATTACAGGTTCCTATCGTCTAGAGCATGTGGTTAAAGTTCGCATGCAGCTGTTAAGCAAACGCAAGGATAGTATCAAGGTTCACTCTACCTCAGACCAGATTTCTAAGATGTTCGTTGTCATGTCCTTGAATCCAATTCGGAGAGATTCGTCATCCAGCTGTAAAACCATGATAACAAAAAGATATTAGAACGACTTTAACTTGCGGCTTTTCTGCACAGGCATCGAACTTTAGATTCATACTCAGTAGACAAAGACAGACTATTCACACAAGTAAAGAATGGTACAATCTGTTGTACTTACAGATGCCAGGTGCTTCCCTTTGCGTTTCAGAAACTGAAGTGTGTTCAAGCATGCCCTTATATCGCATTCTGTACTCGAAACCGAAGAGGATGGTAGGATGACATATTAGATGGAATTTTATGATCCTAAGAAGGCGAATGGACTGTAAACATGGATGTAGCTAATTCATGCTCTCTGTAGTTTAGGGCACCTTAGTATCCTCAAACTCCACTCGAGCGTGAGCGGATTTAGCATCTGATCTTAATTTGTAAACTATGTTACATTTTCCGATACCGAATCGTAATTTTGGGAAGAGAGGCACACAACATCATCTGACGATTTAATTATCGCCACCACCGATCATCATCATCACCTGTATGTTCTGCAAGGGTTGACAGGGCACGAACGCTCGTCCTGTACCCTTCCTCTTCGCAGATATACTTCAGTCTGTATGGAGAATCAGAATGTTAAAAGAACGTGTTAGTACACTGCATGAGATACTTCATCGATCGTTAGCATAGAAGAACGAAATCAAATCAACTCGAATTTTTCTACATCAAGGTAAGGAAGAGGATCCTCAAATGACTCGGTTTACCACAAATGTAAGCTATGTAAGGAATCATTACCTTGTGACTATCCTACTTGTACTCGGTTTGGAGAAGGCATGCACCCTGCATAAAGAAGATCAATACCCCGTGAGAAAGATGAATAAATATAATGCAAATATGCACTCATCATCATACGAAAGAAAGCAGTGGGGTAAAACTTTAAAAGAAAAGAAATCATACATCTGGAAGGTAAATGTTAACTATTTTTCGTGTCTTCATGCTGAGTGCCTACTAAAGTCATCGACCATCAACAGCTGCAGTACATTACGAAAATGAAAACAATCCCAACGGACCTGGCAACTTGACGCAACGGCCGCAAGGCAGGGGCATAAAGATCATTGCAAATGCATATAATCTGCATAACAAAATCTCTTCAAAACGTTAAAAGTGTTCATATCTCGAGTAACACTCATAAAGAAGTTCGTATTGGCACCACTTCCATCCCTTCTGGAAGCTGTGTTGATATACATCGGTCCAAGTTTTGTCGGTGCATTACTACGTAGAAGTCCTCGTCAGCGATCCCCTAAATAAACTCGAGAACCTTGTTGAAATGATAACTTCCATTAGCAAATTGCCAAAGTGCTTACGAGTACGCTAAAGATTTTATGACCGTTGATGGTTTCTCTGACGGTTCTTAGATGAACAAGAAGTTATATGGAATAAACCGGTGAACTGAGGATAGATTCATAAGAAAGCGAAGTCTCTGCAATTTAACGAAAACTGCAAAAAGGGGACCCGATGGACAGCTAGTTGGTTGATGCTCTCACAGGTCGTGCTAGGCTTTCCGAAGAGGCCTTCATCTTCTTCACAGGTTTCCCCGCAGCGCCATCCTCAGTGGACTTTTCTCCAGTTACCTTTTTCTTACGAGAGACCTGCGAAATGTAGGAAATGCTAGAGCTAATCAGAACCTTCTCTTGATTAAGAAAAAACAAAAAACTGAACTCTCTTCAAAAGTGAGACTTACTATTTCAATAAGATGCCTCAAAGCGCTACGCCCTTCATTTCCTCCGATGGCTCCGTCAATTTCATCTATTATCTGGGCACATCAGGGAGTCATCCACTTTCAGCTGCTTCTGACAGCAATCTTGAACAAGGACTTTCGCACTCTCCACAGCGGGAACTTTTAACAAACGCTACGACATGCCACATGTTATCCTCATGAGAAGATCATACATGCATTAAGGTAAGACAGCAGGATACAGCTGTCCACGGTAGAAAGTGATGAATCAACAAATTTTAATAATGAATCAGCAGAAAGCAATCGGCATTCACTACAGGTACTACGGAGAAAAATTTCGCTTGAAAAAGTTGGACCTTGAGGTGTCGTATACGAAGAGTACCCCATATTGGAGAGATTGCACTAACCGGAAAAAGGGATCTACCACGGAATGATCATATCAGATAGCAGAAGAATTGATCCTAATTACCATCCTTTGCTGTCTGAAGGTACTAATAACGTGCTAAGGACTGCTATCAACTCGCAATTGGCTTGTAGAAATCTAAAACAAGTAATCGAGTAGTTTGAGACCGTTTACAAGAAAGAGAGGTATACTTGCATAGTTGGATCTAGGTCTACAAAAAACCTGTAGTAGACGATTGGCAAGCCACAGAAAGTACCAGACAATTAGGTCGGTTGTCTCCTGTGACGGACTTCATCTGAACAGCATCGAGTATTTTCCTTTGCAATGTACTAGCAACTCGGTCATCACTGGCGTTTATCTGCAGAAATGTCAAAACAGGACATTATTCGCTTGCTAACAAAGTTCCAAACGCCACTGGGGTACCAGATGTAGGACTTAGTCAAGGTTAGAAATCTAAACCTCAACATCTAATAATACTCATTCAGCTCCAGGCAGTTAGATTGCAGAAAACATGGTGAACTAATGGATGAGATCGGTTACCTGCTATTGCAGGTTCAGATGATTTGAGAATCAAGTCAGTACATCCAAAGATTTTTACTGTCAAAAACCTTGGTCTTAACTATGATGTATTTCCTCCTTTGCAGTGAATTTAATCAGAAATTAACGAGTATCTTTTTGAATCCAATAAGTATCTAACAATAATGATTACAATGTTGTGTCGGAAAATAATCTACAAGCTGTACTTGGGTACAATGAATTTCAGAGAAATACATCTACATGGTGGAGAGTTCACTCGGCTTTTGTCACTGGTGAGTAGAATCTTGTAATCGTTCACATAGTTTACGTCTGTTGGTTATATCTACATGTGGACGTTACGTAGCTCTTGTGCATGCGCTATTGCCCGTAAGCTTCTAACCCGTCAACTCTTCAGCGTGTGTTCTGCAATATTAACGACCAGACACTCTCTTTTGCATGATGGAAAAGACGTGAAGCAGAAGAGTATAGGTTCAACACTTACCTCAACCACACGATATCCGCAATGGTTCGCAACTACGTGTGCTAGAGTTGTTTTTCCTAGTCCGGGAGGACCGCAAAGCAAAAGTACCTGCAAAATCATTGAGCAATGAAGCCAGATGGAGTCATTCAGCAAAGCTCCTTCGAGGGCCGAATTGATACCACATGAAAGGCGACGATATCTACGTGCCAAAGATGTAAATCTTCTACTACAGTGTCAAAATGAATTTTCACCTTCTGGTTGGTATCTTCAGTCGCAGACTTTAGTCCGTACACCTTCGAGAAACTAGATTTCACAGAATTTGGGTTTGTAGAGTTTACGACTGCGTCATCTGTTGACACTTTCTTGGACTCGAAGTGGCTCTTCTTGAAGTTTCGCTGGAAATTTCTACCATCCCGAGAGAAAGACTTTTTCCTAAGAGCAGCCAAAACATCTTTTGATGTCGGAACATTGTCTGACTGGCCGAAAACACCGAAGTCCCAATGCTTCAACCACCTCAGCACCTTGATATAACGAAGGAAAATCAGCAACTTCAGAAAGCAGAAAGTAGAACCAGAGAAACTCCGTTCTTATAGCAATGCTCATTATCCACGAAACTGACCGGGTGAAATTGATTTTCTGAATTATATTGTAGTATCTACTGAGTTAAGTAGATACCTCTCTGTTGGTTTGTTCATCACTTAGCAACTCAGTGAATGATTTAGGTGCATACTTCTCTACCCACAGCTTTTCATGCACTTTTTCTGCTTGAACCTCCGGACCCTCCTTTCGATCGGCAGGCATGGGATCCTCCGAAAACATCTACAACGACATCGAAAAGGGCGTATCATTGAACCAGGTAAAGAAACATCGAATAGAGGTCGTATGGACATCCTGGTTTGAAGACAATGACCTACTACTACCTTTTGTAGTCGACATTGATGAGCTGCTTCGATCATCTCTTCGATAGACTGCAGGAGAAGACCTGCATGGGCCAGGATATAAGTTTCGTCAAAAAGCCTTTCCAGTGCTTGACAAAGATTTTAAGCATTCAAGAAACTCGGAAATATTTGAAGACTTTGAGTTTACCTTTAGTTTCAGAGACATATGAAGAATGTAATTTGTAGCTCGATCTGGTGTTTGCGTCTGGACTTTGCTTACGTTGAGCATAAACTCGGATACCGGACGGTGCAGTGATTGTTATGTAATCTCCATCGATCGAGTTTGCCATCCGAAAAACTCCACACTTTTTGGACCAGGTAGAATCATACTCTGGGGTTCGATTGTTGACAATATTTTCCTTCTCTTTGACAGCCGAAACGGAAGCAGGCAGAGGCAATGAATGCACGGGCTCAGAGGAAGGTACATCTTCTTTGAATAAAGCTCGATGCCGCTTTTCTGGATAGATCCAACAGTAGGCAGGATCAAAGTGATGTCTGGGAGGTTTAACCTTCAGAAATGAGCCAAATATGCATTTCCAAAGTGCAAAGCTTGTGTGCGATTTCCTGGTAGCTCTCAGAACTCAGCACTCAGAACCGGAGGGACACGTGATTAATCTTGAAATTGCCAAGGTAAAGTCTCCCCATAGTGTGCTGCAGAGCTGCCCTAACTCCCAGGATCATAAGTCCTTTCAGCTGAATTCAAATCAAGGAGTTGTCTTCTTCTCGATGAACTGCTTGAGTTTCTCGCAGAAGAAATGTGCCGGGATCACATATCTTACCCACATGATAGAAGGAAGAAGGTCGTCTTTGTCACATCGTCTTCAGTAGAAAAATACCTTTGGGACTAATATCCTTTGCTGAAGACTTCACAGAATTCTCGGAAGAACTTCTTTTGCGGCAGACAACCTCAGAATCGGACATGTTCCGAGCTTCTTCTGTGATGAATCGAAACAGATGTCAGTTCACCCCTCCTCATTGAGTACGTATGGCATCATCGAAGTGCGTCTAGACTGAAAATTAGGCACATTCAACTGTGTGGTACAAATGTAAGCAAATTCTACATTGGATTCTCGTTGCAGCGGTAGCTGAATACTTTATAGCACTGTCTAAAGCCGAAATTATCACGATTGATCAAAAGCCTCTGGCAGAGGCTTTTGATTCACATTCGCTGATATTCCTCTGTCAACATCTTCCTTCCAGATTCTCTTGGAAACGAGATGGAAATATGTACATATGTTAAAAAGTTTATATCAATGCTGGTATTATCGGCGACGTGCGACGTACGTAGCTAAGTCTTCAAAAGACCTCACAAAAATAAAAGATGGACGGTCCTGATGATGAGGATGCATCGGTTCTTAAAAATTCGACTGGATGAGACAAATTCAGCCTGATTCTTATTTTCTTTTTACCACGCTGAAATTGCAATGTTTTTATTCAGGATTCGAATTCCTCGTTTAGACTCACGATCATACTGAAATGCAGAAACACATAGCAGCAATTGAGTTTTATGTTCGGGTGACCTCCATGCTCTAAATTCCAAACACTTCTTTCTCCGGGGGGTCAGAAGGGGATCATGTGCAGCATGCGACTGTGACAATTCCACTGTCAATTGCGTGAGCCTCATTTTGGTGGAAACGTAGCTACGACGAGCGCATTGTTAGAAAATGTACATTGCTGAGGAATCCTGCTCATCTACTGGATGATGACAGTGTTCTTCCTGTCGTTCGGGTAAGAAGAACGACAATTCACAACGATTCACAACAATTCACAACGCTGTGATAAGTACCGCGAGGATCGTCCTGGAAGAAATCGTCTGGCTCGGGCTCGAATCCAAACTCTGCCTCGTCCTCCATCCCCTGATGCGCCATCCATGTCAACTCGTCGAAATCCGGTTCCTCCATGACTGCAGGAGCCGCTGATCGATTCGGCTCCGACGATCGCAATGAGCACCGGCGCAGAGAATTGCAATGTCGGGCAATTGCACCGGCGCTGATTCGAATGCTCCCCGCAATATTCGCTTCCGATATCTCGCCCGACTGAGCCTCGGGCTTTCCCGCGCTTTTCACACAACTGGGTCCCACCGCTTGCCTACCGGCACTGTTATTGGTGGGTTTCAGTCCCGACCTCCTCGACCACCACCCGCCAATTCCTTCAATATACGTTGTGCGCTTAAAACGGTCCCGAATGTTGTCAAAGCAAGTAATCACCACATTGGAATCCACTAATCATCCACCATTGTTATACGTCTAAATCATTCACTTTAATAAATAATTAATTTTTTACATTTTATATTGTACAATAATATTTTTAATCTACAAAATGACTTATTTGAACATCATATATTAATGTAAAAATAAAGTTTATTTCATTTCTAGATTTTATTGACATTATAAATGACAGGAAATTCTATTAATTTCCTTTCATTTAAATAATGACTTTTTTGCATATACGATTATTTCACGGAAAACTATACATCCGTGACAATGTTTTAAACTTATTTTCTATGTTCAAATATCACCTAATTTTTCATATTGACATTGAATAAATATCACGTTTATAGTTAATATCTTGAAATTTTATACTGCGAGTAATCATCTCACAAAAAAAAAATTTTATATAGGAAAAATTTATGATTACATCAGTAAATATTCTATAATTCATTTTCAAAAATGTATACCATAAATAGTTTTTTATTCTCATCATTTGAGTGAATGTAATAACACTCATAATTATAGATGAACTTTTAATTTCTTAATTATAACATTGTGAGTTTTTATCAATATTAATGGTATTTCAAATTTTTTTCAGCACATTTATAGTTAAAAAAGTCAATTTATAACTTTTGGAATAGGAAAAATTGTAATGTATTTTTAAATATCAACCTATCTGCATGATTATATGAAATGATATTGTTCTAGCATGGTGTTAATTACTACATAACATAACAAATATAAATTATATATAAAAACATTACAACTATCTATCAACGCGCTTTTTATACCGAATGAATCGTCTTGGATTAAAAAATTAATTATTTAGAATTCCCTATTTTAATTTACTTATTTGAAAGATATTTTGACTACTTTTTTATCAAGAACTTTTTATTTTTTATTTATTTAAATAATTTAAAATAAATATTCTAATACTTACTTTATTTTCTATTTGTTTCTTATCAATCCTTTATTTATTATTATTAATTTGTAGATTATCATAAAAAAACCATATCATTCAACACATGTAAAAGTCATAAGAATAAAAGTTCTAGTCAATGATTTTTATCTTCATAAGTGGCATAGTGCCAAATGTTTTCAATATGACTATGAGTTTTGCAAAGATTGGCACTAAATATATATGTTTGATAATTTAACCAATGACATTTGAAGAGTGGATTAACTCTACTCATCCATTCAGCATATGCACTATGTAAAAACATGTTATGATACAATACACAACCAGGATATCGGGCCAGAAAATTGCAAAGGAGCTATAAACTTATGTTAAATATTCACAACAAATTCAACCATGAATATTTCAGGGTTGGATGGATTTCCCATATAATTTGGATGGTGTACAAGTGATTGTGTGAAACTTAGTTCCACGTTGCCGGTTGTTTTGGTGGTATGTCAGACTTTTTTTTTTGAAGCAATTGGTAAGTCCAGTTCACTGCAAAATGAATCAAATACATCATTGCAGAGCCGAGCAAACACAAGGTCTACTGGCAATACCTCCTATAACTACCTATTTATGATTTTCAAATAATATGCCTATAGAATCTATGCACCGTCATGAGAGACAAAGGAAGTGGAAGCGGGGCCAGTCATAACAGGCCGCTGAAAGTTCCACCAAGACTCCTCTGTCCGCCACCAGAAGAATAGGCCCTGATGGTCCCAATGCATGGAGAACTGGCACCGCGCATTGTCGATGCATATGGGTTGGTGTTATTCGCTCCAGAGCACTTTGGCCTAGGTTGTGCGAGCCAAATCCAATAACGCATCCTACAAGGTCTGTTCAAGCAGTGTCGAGGGTCATGCGTGATCATGGAACACACGATGATTCCGTTGCAACCAAATAATACAGAGGGCAGTGCCTTGCATCAGCGATCAAGCCAAGAGATATTCCTGCAAAGATTGATGAAGATCATCCCCAAAAATGCATTGCTGCCATGATAATTCTCGCATGGGAGAATGCTGTCCATGTTGTTGCAACATTGCATGTAGGATGTGGATCATATAAGACCAGGCTGCTGTGGCCTTGGCACAAGAGAAGAAACAGTGAAGAACTGTTTCTGGTTCATCTAGATCGCAGCATGTGCATGCATCTAAAATTGTGGGCATTGAGCGGTGTTGCCACAGATCTATCACATCACGGTGGTAGATGCTTCACATAAACGCAACGTTTTTCTTTGGACGAGCAATTGTCCAGACAGCTTTCCAATCCAGGGCAGATGTGGCAAGAAGCAGGCCGTGCCACTTTGCCACGATTGGGAGAGAAAGTTTGGCTCGGGGGCTGAGCAAGGTCCAAACTTTCTTGGCAGAACAGTCATGGAGCAGGTCGCTAGAGCTCTACCGCCAACGCCCGAGATCAAAAACTAGCCTGGTGAACGGAGCCATGTAGTAAGCTCGTGTGACAATCTTCTGTTGATGTCTGGCCGGGACCATGATAATCTGACTGCGCAGCACTTTGCATAGGTCCAGGTTTTGGAAGGGGAAGCTCCACTAGTACTGTAAGCAATCGATGAGATAGGTGCCCAATTGTGTATTGGGGAATGTTAGCAAAGAGATCGAGGTCTGTTTCTTCGGAGGGAAGTGCCGGGAGGAATTCTGCAGTTGTTGTGAAAATGATGGCTAGATCTTCCGAGTCAACTACGATGAAAAGATCCACCCATTTGCCTTGGATGGTCTGGGAGCCCGTTGTGAGGACCAACGTTTTCCATTGTGGGGGTACATGCACCAAAATGTCGTCTACCAGCGGTTGCTGATATGCTTGAAGACGATACTGCTGTTAAAAGGTACTTCAGGGGGCGAGCGTTGGTAGAACCGGCCTGCCATAGATCCCGGAGACACGCGAGACCTTGGGAGTTAAGGAAATTCATCCTTGGCTCTAAAAATCCCCAGTTCTCTCCTAAGTATTAATTTGTTCACCATAAGTGTTGGTTACGAACATCTTCAACGTTGGTGGACTGAGTGTATAGATCTTAGGACTAGCCCGCCTCCATGCGTTAGACATGCGCTCCCACACCGGAGCTCCACGAGGGGCAGAGAACTGTTGAAGCATTGCCTATTGCAAGCTTGGTTCTAAGTGACATGATGACGCCGGCCGAAGTGTCATGATGCGTTGACGAAGGAGAATGTGAAGAGGTGAATTCCTTGGCGTTAAGGCCTTGATCGTCCACTTGTTCGTGAGTGCGATCAAACTGTCTATGGCGATTGATGAGAGCAAGACCACTCACCAGTTTCGCAGCATAACAATTTGTCCATCGAATCCTAGTACAGGCGAAGTTTGCTGATCCTGCCCATAGGTAGATCATGAGGTACGTCTTTAACGTATTGAGCATGTTACGCAAACCGTACCACAAACTTATAAAATACCACAGAGAGGAAAGTAAAATGTAATTTACTATAACCACTCGAGCGGCAAGCGATACGTGAAACTATAACCAATACTTCAACTTCCGGTTGATCTTGGCCGCAAGGAAGTTGTCCACATTTGATGTTGCTAAGGAAATGCTAAAAGACGTCCCTTACAAGTTGGACATGGTATTTGGAGGTGCAATCATGCACTCGAAAACATTCAACCAACTCGCAAACCAGTACAAAGAGCATTTCTCCTTGTTGAAGGTGAGTACTGTGGCATCGCCAAAGTTATGCAGTATTGTGGCTGCCTCCCGTACATTCCGCTCGTGCCTCGTAGTGAAAGGGAGGTATCATCCGCAAATTAAGATAGCGTTTGTTGGGTGGATTCGTCAGGAAGGATGATAACCCTTAGCCGTACTTCTGTCACCTCTAGATTGGCTACCATTGAAAGCACCTCGGCTACAATAAGACAGAGAAGCGGTGCGAGGGCTCAATCTTGCCGCACCCCCGACGTATAGGAAACTCATCTGTGCAGAGGCCGTTTATAGAACGGTTGCAGCAACGTCCGTAAGAAGCATCTCCACCATTCCAACAAATGCATGTGGAATTTCCATGCGAGACATGGCTTGAAAAAGAAAACTCCAACTCACCGTGCCATAAGCCTTACTGAAGTCTAACTTCAGCATAATTAGCGATTGCTCAGACATTTGGGCCCATGCAATAGTTTCGTGTTGTACGAGGACTGCGTCGAGGATATAACGAGCCGGATGAAACGCTGCTTGACTGTCGGTGATTACTTTAGGCAGAAATTTCTGAAGCCGCATCTGTAGCACTTCCACAAAAAGCTTGTACGATAGGTTCAAGAGCGTGATAGGGCGCCAATGTTCAATAAACTCCAGGTCGTCTTCTTTCGAAAGAAGGACGATCAATCCAGTGTTCGTGCTATATGGTTGTCGGTCTACCCGAATGGCATGGTGGATCATGTTTGTGAAAGTCACTCCGATGAGATCCCAAAATGTTGAGTAAAACTTAAGAATCACATCATCGGGACTTGGGCTCTTGCCAGCTATCATGGTTTTAAGAGCTGCATGGAATTCAACAACGTCTAGACTCGCGCTAGATCACCAACACAGACGCGGGGAATTGTTAGGAGAAGAAAGCTGGAAGTCTTGAGAGAAGTTATGTCTCCGCTGTAGTCTTTTATGCAGATAGCGGTGACGCCGCGTTTAACGCGCTGTAGTATGTCAAGGCACATTGCTTGATTTCATCTCTAAAGGTGACATAGGTGCCGTGCTCGTCATGGAGTGCAGAGAGAAATTTCTTTCCCAAACCGTCCGGAAGAACTATTGGCTCACTTGGTCATCACACGGTTTCCAGCGGATTCTGTACCTCTCTTTTAGAGCTGAAGTTTTGCGTTGCTGGGTCTTAAGACGGAGTCGTAGAGCGCCTATTTGATTCATGAGAATCACATTCTCCGGGTTC